ATAGGGATAAATCAAAAGTTAGGTACAAGTTCAGGGGGCAAATTAAGAGTTAAGCCTAGTACATATATAATTTCTTAGTTAGTAATATTTCTATTCATTTGTACTGACAAATTCAAATCACCCAAATTTTTTGACCCTTAAGCCTAAGTTGTTCAATATATAATTGGTCTAACCCATATCAATTAATATGTGATAACATTTTTACAATGCTAAAAATAGCACAAGGCTTTAACAGGGTAATGAGGGAGGGTGAGAGAAATGAGAAAGCAATGATTTAGGTATTAGATTCATAAGAAAAATGAGTTAAATATCAAGATATAATTGGTCCGGTTTTTAGGTGCTAAGGATTGGGAACTAAACCAGTTCAAGCCGAAATTGATTTTAACGATTTTTTCTGGTTTGGTTTAGTTCAACGATTTATTGGTTCAAATGCCTTAATATACCTCTAGTAGACTTGGAACCAACTTTATTTGTGGGCCTTAACTAGGAGTGGGCACAGTTCGGTTTTCCCTTACAACTGAAACCAAAATTGAAAATTTTATACAGTTTAATTCAACAAGGCAAGGAAAGGCGAGACAACACTTGATTTTGATACTCATGGAAAGGCAAGGAATGAAATTAAATATTTCTAGTGCCAGTGGCTCTTGTGCACCCCATTTATGCTGGTGCATACCATACCGTATTGTGCTGAACGCTCACAAAAGCCGTGGCCTTCCGCTATGTAACATACCGGTTAGATATAGGTGGATCTTACAATAACTAATTGATCCAATTTCAACATAAAATTGAGTCATTCGAGTAGATATGACCCTCTAAACTGACTCAATGTTTCATTTCAACATAAAACTGAGTCATTTGATAAGATTTGACCCCAAAAATCTTTCAAATCTTCTCAAATGACTCAAGTCTTTTTTTGAAATGGGATCGACAACTTACTCTAAGATCCTTTAAGTAGTAATGACAAGCTTGTGTTGAGTCGTAGTGGGACACAAAACCCAAGGTAAATGCAAGAGAGAGTTAATTTTAGGGGTCAAATCTTCTCAAATGACTATATTTTATGTTGAAATGATGGATTTAATCCATTTAAGGGGTCAAATATTCTCAAATGACTTAGTTTTATGTTAAAATGAGATGAACCACTTACTGTAAGATCCTATAAGTTGTAACCAAGAGCTTGTTTGAGTCGTAATGGGACATATAGGGTTATATTGTTATATTATAGTACTATCATTTTAATAACATTTTAAAAATTCTTTTAAGAACATAATAAATGCCATCATTGTACATGGATAATACAAGAACACCACGTGAGCTAGTGGTAAGCCGCTATAATTGAGTATTGGAGGTTGGAGGTCAAGAGTTTAAACTCCTTTTTGTTTAGAAAAATGGAGTGTAAATGGATAAAAAAGGAGTGGGAAAATCAATACCTTTTTTTATTTGGGCCTCTGAATAGGGGTGGGTTCCACAATTTGCCAAGTCATCCTTAGGGTGTTTTTACGAAGTTTGGAATGGAGTTGACAATAGGGGCAAAGTGAACTACGAAACCACAGTCAAAGAGGCAATTGGTCACTTTGAGTTTTAGGGGGGAAATTGGGATTTGACCAATGTTTGAGGGGGTATTTTAACTAATAAACCTTTTGATAATTACTCTAACCTGCAGGGTCGGGGTGGGCACAATTTCGAGTCAATCCGACCGAACCATCCAACTTGATCATAGTGAGTTGGATTGGCCTAAAATGAGCCGCCCAATCCGATTACAAAAAAATTGAGTTGGATTGGGCTACTAATAAGCTGATCTTGAATCTAATAAATCATAACTGCTTTATATTGGGTTGAGTTATAGATTGAGACTAAATCCGACCCAACCCAACCATACCCACCCCTATTGTGGAGTAAAATGTAATTAATTCTTTAAAATAATAATAATAATAAAGAACGTTGGTTTGCCTTCTTAGAAATCTCACCGTTGGACGGAATAAGAGATAAGAAAAGTGGGTGGCAGCTGACGAGTGAGAGTAGAGATTGCAAGTCCACACCTCCACATGATAAAGGGAAAAGGGGAAAAATAATAAGAAATTAGCAAGAAGTATTTTGGTGTGGGGTAGGGGGTTTTGGAGATTGAATTGGGATTGGGATTGGGATTGGGAAATAGGAAACAAAAGACGACTGGTTGGGTGTCTCAACGGAGAATTTAGATAAGATATACAGAAGACAGAGCAGACATGAGTATAGGAACAGTATCCACAGCCATAGCAGCCTCTTCATCCATGAGTACGGCGGCAGACGCGGGACGCATGAAATCATTATCATTCTCTTTCCCTTCTTGTTGGGCAGTTTCATTTTCACATCACAAACTCACTCCAAGCGCTCTCGCCCACTGCCCAAGGCCAAGGAGGAAAAGTGGAAGGATTAGTTGCGAGGTCGCTATCAGATCAGACTCCTCGTCTCCTTCTTCTTCTTATGCTTCCTCTGCCGACATAACATCATCAGATGAAGCCGTCGCCTCCCCCAAGATCGGAGCTAGGGTTAAGGTGAAGGCGCCTCTGAAGGTGTACCACGTGCCCAGAGTACCAGAGGTGGAAATCACTGGCATGGAAGGTGAGCTCAAGCAGTACGTTGGGCTCTGGAAGGGCAAGCGGATTTCAGCCAATCTCCCTTATAAGGTGCAGTTCGTTGTCGATGTTGAAGGACGTGGCGCTGTCAAGTTCTTCGCCCATCTCAAGGAGGACGAGTTCGATTACCTTTGAATATGATCAATGGATAATCCATCATGTATATCAGGCTATAACCTCTCCCTCTCCCTCTCTCACACACATTATATTATCTAATAATCATTAGCCCGGCAGCTCGTTTCTCAACTGCAATTGATTGTATTTTATTCTCCTGTCATTATTCCTGTTATTACTACTCTTAAGCCTCTTCAGCAATATGCGGTTCATCTTGTTGGTTTAACCAATCTCTTAAATTGATGGATTTAAATGGCTCAAGATTTATGCAGAAATGTATGTAACAAAGTGCTATTTCAAAATTTGATTCTTTGGAAGTTTTGCGGATTAGAGTCGCCCCTTCTTTTGGTATTGTTAACTGGGATTGTTTAAGCAAAAGTCCGTACAGGTATGTAACTTGAGTTTCTGGGTAGCCTGCCTAATCCTTTGCTAGAGTTGCATTGATGCAGCTTCTGACAGATTATAATAGCAACAATAAATCACGAATGAGATTATTTTGCCCTGTTTCATAGGCCGGACTCGGGTAGAAGGAAAATGACTAATGTTGCAGCGTCCTGAGCTACTTTGCTAATCCCAAATTATTTGTTGGAATGTTTCCTCAGCTACTTTGCTCTATCCACTGGGCCATTTATCATCTACTTCAGTCCGACATTCAACAAGAATATACAAGTTTTGTGTCAATGTTGAATGATTCTATATTCAACAGGGCTGGTTTGTGTCAAATTATTTGTAGCCCTAGTATAAAAAAAATGTTAGTGATATTTAGGATACTGAGCTCTGAATCAACCATTCTTTCTAATTGTTTTGCATCACCCGCACTCCCTATTCTCCCAAATTTTGATCGATAATGGTTGTTCATTAGGAAAAGCCGCTTCACATTCTGTTCTCCCGATTTTGATCAATAATGGTTGTTCATTAGGAAAAGCCGCTTCACATTCTGTTCTCCCGATTTTGATCAATAATGGTTGTTCATTAGGGAAAAAAGCCTCTTCACATGTGCGGGAGCGCATGCCTGAGAGACTGGTAATCAGTTAAGCGAACTGAAATTAATATCAAATTCAAGCTCAAGTTCAAATTATTTGTGCCCGAGTTTTTAAGTTAAGTTTGTTGAGCTGAAGTAAAG